CCTTATTTTCAGGGAGGTCTTATTTTCGGGGGGGATGCCTTATTTTTCAGCAAGAGACAAAACTGTAAGTAGGTCTTATTTTCGGGGGATGCCTTACTTTCGGGAAAACAGGGTAAGTTCAGCATGCACCCAGCACCCACTGTTACCCTCAAAAGTACACAGTACTTCTGATTCACAGGTCCAACAGTGCAGATCAGTGTGTTAGGTCCCCTGACAGCAGGCTTAGGTTTCTGCTTGTTTCTGCTCTCCTAAATCAGTTCCATTTGTCTATTCACCTTCCAGTTCCTGAAATATTATTAGCATTTCATCCTTTGTCAGTTCCTCTCCCGTTTCCATTATTTATGTAAGTTTGTGCTTTATGCCTTTACTTTCATTTTAGTGCTGTTTTTCAGAGAGGTGTGAAATGTGTTGTGTATTCAATCCACTGTGTTTCATTGGAAGTCCCTAGAATGTCTTTAGACCAACCAAGTTTTTCTGTGTCTTACTCTCTGCCCTATCCCTTTCTTTCCTGTGGACAGTATTCTAAAGGTCAATTCAGAAGGACAAATAGAAACAAGAACGAATGACATCATTCAGACAGTGAGGATGATCAAATACTTGATAAACAGAAATAAACTACATGAGATTTATTACACACGCGCTTGCACTCGCACTCACACATGCTGTGGAAGGTATGAAACCACACTCGGATTCTCCTCCATCTGGATGTGTCCTTTTATTAGTGAGTGCCATGACCAGAAACCATTTTGGTTTTCTCTAGTGTTATACCAAGAAAGAATTTAGTATTAAGCTTACTTATTTTTAATGGATAGACCTCTTGGGACAATTTTGTCTACAAAGTTAAACTAATATCTCATGAAAAGAAATGTACTGGCCCAGAGGAATCTTCTTTTTAAGAAGATAAATTATTCTAAGATGAGTTTTGTACTCCTTTTCATAGATAGCAACTATTAAGGGAAAAACATTTGTTTGCCAAGATTCTTATTAATTTATCTACTCATTGTCTTCTAGTCGGTAATCACACACTAAAGCATTCTTCTTTAATTTTTTTATTATTAGCTGGGATTTTATACATATAACATATCGTTGCATATTTCAATCATGTCTTAAGCTTTTAAGACTCAAGTTCATTGAGCAATAAAAAGTTTCACCACTGTAGCTACATGGATTCTGTACATGGATTTTACCACTAAATCCATGTAAATACAACTTACATATCTCTTGCTATCACTCAGCTATACATTCCATCTAGTCTGGCTCTGATAAATTTTGCTTAATGTTAAAAATGTGTGGACTTCAAGCAATCAGACTGGGAAATTTCTTCCAGAGTCTAACTAAGAAGTACTCATTTGATAAGTGTTATTACATGATCATTATTTTTATTTTTTAAGTGGTTTATATGAAGAGAAAAGAATTTGCCTGATGGACTAAGCATACTTTATTGTGGTTTGCATGAGGATAGTGTCCATGTTTGATGTGCTCTTTAGTGGTGCTGTCTTGTAACCTGACCAGAGTTGTATCTAATTTGGGCCTGTGGTTGCTCTTCCTAGGCATAACGACATCAATAGAAAAGCGAAGAAGTCCTGCAGCGCGAAGCCTATTGCTGAGCCAGAAGCAGAGGGATCTTCTTGTAAATGATTGTCTATTATCTTTCACTGCTGCCCTTTGGAGCTTAGCGGGAGTGTCTTGGACTGCAGTTCATGAAAAAGAACCATGGGAACAAAGCCTCACCAGCAGAAGAGGAGAATATCAGGATGCCTTAAATTTAGCATAGTAGACAATGTTAAAAACCACATTTTCGGTGATACCAGTGTATATAACTTGTTTTTAAAAGAGATGTTGTTTGAAAGCATGATTGGACAAATATATGTTTTTAAAGATTTCACTATACAGCTGACTCACAGAACGTTCACAACCACTAATGCCCATTTGTATTTTATCAGTTGCATGAGTATTGTCGAATATTGGTTGAACTTCCCTTTCCCCAAAATATTGGCAATTTTGGCGATGTTCCTCAATGAGACCAAGTCAGTGATGTTGTTTTCTGTCAAGAGTGTTTTTTCTGTCATTTCTACTTTTTGTATAAAGGAAATAAAACAGTGTTAACAGCTACCTATAATCTTGAGGCACCTACTTTCTAATAAATTTGTGTTCTGATTTCTAAGGGACTTTGAGAGTATTTTGATAGCTTATATTTTATTTCGGGAATAAACTGCCCAGTTTAGCTGTTTCCCCATTGGGGTCAAATAAAACATTCTGGTTTTCATGAAGTGCTAAAGAACCAGACAAGTATATAAAGTAAGGCAATTCCTTCTGCCTTCTCAAATTGCAGCATTGCCATGGGAAATGCTAATGACAAGGAAGGATTTAGTCCCTCCTTAGGTCACTTTCTTTGCCTCTAACACATTATGAGGCCTGTCTAATCCCTTTTGGAGACAGTGTGGAGCCAGAGTTCATAGCAGTCCTACTGTTGAGGCAGCTCCTTCAACCCGTGTAACAGTGAGTTCCAGAAGGTTGCTTCCAATCATGTGAAAATATACTTCTGTTGAAACTTCAAGAGTTTTATCTTCAAAGTGCTGGCATGACCTATAAGAGGTCTGTCAAGTTTTAGTTTGAAAGTAGAATGTATTCTTACCAGTAGGAGGGAACCCTGTATGCTATTAGCAATGGTTAGCCATGATTCTGCATGCAAACGTAGGCCACTCTGAATCCTAGTAGGCAAATACACTGAACTACTGAATTAGCAGCTAATCTTGCAAGCTTAATGAGATTCCAGGTTTAGAATAAAGTGCTGATATTTCAGTGTCTCTTATAGACCATGTATTGCTACACTCAATTTTTACAGACTCAAAAAAATTAGACTTCAGCAAGGTTAAGGCCTGTGTTCAAGGAAACAGTAATATATAGAAGGATTTTATTTTAGTGCAAGTTGGCTCATTACCCCTATGATCCCATGCTATCTCTTTTTCATAGTGAGCCCTGGACTAGCACACAGGAAACCTGAGTTCCAAGTTGGCTCTGTTTATGGACAATGCATTAGTTTCAGGCAGGAGACTTACCTCCTGGAGAAATCCAGAAAATGGGAGACTGGTCTACATACAGAGTCACTGGTAGTGTAGACCAGTAATATACTCCGCTGCTAACTAAAAGGTTGTAAGTTCAATCCACACGGAGATGTCGTCTGAGATCAGCCTGGCGATCTCTGTCCACAAACTCACATGTTATCAGGCTGAGACTCCTCCCTGGAGAAGGACATCACACTTGGTAAAGTGGAGGGGCAGCGAAAACTAGGAAAGCCCTCAACAAGATGGATTGACACAGTGGTTGCAACAATGGGCTCACACCTAAGAACAATGGTGAGGATGGGGTAGAGCCCAGGCAGTGTTGCACATAGGGATGCTCTGAGTCTGAACCGTCTGACTGGTACCTGACAACAATCGCCCATAAACACCCTGCCCAGTATAGTTAGACTCTCGCACACGTGGGTCACCCTACATGCAAAATGACTCAATGGCAACTGGTTGAATGGTTTGCCTACAGACATATCCAGCTGGGTGGGGGAGGGACCTCCCAACCAATTTACAGAGCAATACAGCTAATAATTCCAGCCAGCAGCTCACAGTTCTTGTGGGGCCCCGTGGGTTGATCTTGTGGCTCTGCCTTTCTCACATGGTGGGCCCGTCAGATGAGTGGCCTGGCTCGGCTTTGAACCCCAGGTTTCCTCTGCCATTCCCTAGTCCTCATGCTTGATGCTCTGTGCTATTGCCTGAGATTATAGGACAGAAGAGGGGATAAACACGTGTGAAATGTAGATTCATATTTTCTGCTTGACACTGAAATCAAGGTGGCACTAGAATCAACTGATCCAGCCTTTGGGGCTTAATCTTCGAAGGGAGGGCCGACGGAAAGTGCTCTCAGCCCCCGGAAGGGCTCAGTGTTGTCTTCGACTGTGTTTTGATTTGAAATGAAAGACATGCTACAAAAATGTAATGGCCAGACACTGAGTTCTAAAGTAAATATAGTGGAGAAGATTTTAAGAGTTTGAAAGAAAAAGATGCTGCTTCGGCCAGGAAAGCACTGACAACGCCCTGGCTTCATGAAATGAGCATTTAGGTTCAGATGCATCTGAAGCAAGTCTAGAGAGCAAAGATTCAATAGGTGACACAGGAACGTTGGGCAGACTCTGATCAGCCAGACTGCAGGCCAGACATTCTGGGTTTAATAGTCTCACTAGGACACTGGAAAAAAAAAACTGACCCTTAAACCGTCCATGTCTTTCCTGTCCAAATTCTCCTAAGAGAAACATGATAGTGGAAATCATGTTACTCAGACAACATTTTTAATTTTTAAATGGGGAGGAGTAAAAAAGGTTTATTTCTATACAGAAATCAAGACATATTAACATGTCAAAGAAAAAGAAAATCTGTGTTTCCTCTTAGGAAGCAGAGCTTGGGTCCCCTGCCCAGCGCCCTCCCTTTGGGCCAGTGAAATGAGCAGAGCTCTATCCGCATGCCCAATCACACACAGCAGGGCAGGAAACAGCACCACTGTAAAAAAAAAGATCACGGCATCTGTCAACATCTTATAAAGGCTGGCATCTTTTATGTCACCAAAGGGACTTGTATAGCCAGAGTTCAGCACGTCTAATGAAGAACGTTTCTTAGAAAAGAAAACCAAGAGACCAACCTTCGCCACTCTGAAAGGTTTGAATTCTCATTGTTTACTCTCATTAAACATTGGCATCAGGAGTTCTTGGCATAGCTCAGTATAAATTGAGCTTCCGTTCAAGCCCACCAACCACTCCATTAGAGAAAGATGAGGCTTTCTCCTCTCCTAAGCATGGACTCCGTGGCAGTGAGTGAGAACGATTTTGAGTCCTGAAAACCCCGGGCCACTGCCCTCCTCTGT